TTAGACACAGTTATGGGTACTACTTGATAACCTGCCACAAGTGACCTTCCAATCTTTACGCCTGCTGGCCTGGATGGGTTTTCCACTGCTTCCACAAGCATCGGGCTTCCTTGGGGATGTTCTATTATTCTACCACAAATGATCTTCTCTGACATAGGGGGTATTGTAGTTGACTAAGGTGCTGTGAGATGCAAATCAACAGAAGCAGCAACACTTACTGGAGTCTGGCCTTTGTTGTTTCCAATCATCATTTTATCAAAATTAACTACACACTTCTTCAGTATTAAGTAGTCCAACCCTAATATGCATTGGTCTTTAATGTCAGCCAAGTATACTTTCTATCTGTCATTCATGCCCATGAGCTCAATAATTACCCACACTGGTCCTCACAACCTTGCATAATGTCTGTCACACCACAGAGTTTTCACATGGCTTTTGGTACTCCTTTGTGATCCAGCACCTTGATACTCACAAGGGTTTGCTGAGATGCAGAATTTATGACAAAGTTGCACTTTTGGACATCCAGCTTTCCTGTCACATTGACACTGTGTGTGCTTGGCATTTTACACCTAGCTGTTGGGACTTTCACGATGGGGGTTGGTTGGCGTCCCTTAATACCAACCACTACTGGTTTCCCTGAGGCTGACTTATTAGTAGTATTCTTCTTACACTGGCTCTTCATATGTCCTTGCTCTCCACAGTTCCAACAACCTTTCTGGGTAGCAGCCTTTCCTGCCATGGCATCTTTCCTGTGTTGAAGTTGCCAGCATTGAGCTCTCTTGTGCCCAGGTTTGTTACAGTGCCAGCAAAGTCCCTCAAACTTCTCTGAAAGCTGCCCTTTTCTGGCCTTGAATCCTGATGACTGTACCAACCTTGGTACCTCTGTGCTGGACTTAACGTAGGATTCAAATTCATGAGCTCTGGCCATTGCATCCTGCATAGTAGAGGGGTGTGCTTGCTTTATTTGTATTTTCAGTTGTGGACTATCCAAGGCATCTACAAACTGATCCCTCAGCAACAGCTTGAGGATATCGGGTGATGCAGTTGGGTAGGCCTTGTGTGCATACTTTCCAAATCCTGTGCCAGCTCTTGCAGATTTTCCCCTTTAGCACGGACTCTAGTCCTAAACCTAGCCCTGCAGACTTCGGACTGATTTTGAGTTCCATACCTGAGCTCTAGAGCAGCTACCAGTGCTCTATAGTTGTGCCTGTCGTCTGCTGACAACTGTCCAAGTATTTACAGTGATTGTCCCTCCAGGCTCGTTTCCAGGTACACTGCTTTCTGCTCCTCTGTCCATCCATTCATTTCTGCCAGGAGCTCAAATTGTGCCCTATATGCTTCCCATGGAGCCTTCCCATCGAATTCCTGTGGCTTCCTTCATACTAGATCACCCCCTATTGCTGACACTCATGTCTGGAATGTGACTTCTGGCAGGACTGAATATGTCTGCATTAGGGTTTAGCTGCAGGGTCTGGAAGTGGCTTCCTGTTGTCTGGGGCTGATTAGGTCCATGGGTAATATATCCTTCCTGTGTAAAAGACAGTAAATCATCTTTTAATGTATTTAATTCACTTTGAAAG